CATTTATCATTTGTCATCCATCCATTCATCATATATCATCCATCCATTCATCCATTCATCATCTATCATCCATCCATTTATCATCTATCATCCATCCATTTATCATCTGTCATCCATCCATTTATCATCTATCATCCATCCATTTATCATCTGTCATCCATCCATCCATTTGTGATCTACCATCCATCTATTTATCATCTGTCATCCATCCATTCATCATATATCATCCATCCATTCATCATCTATCATCCATCCATTTATTATCTGTCATCCATCCATTAATCATTGTCATCCATCCATCCATTTATGATCTATCATCCATCCATTTATCATCTGTCATCCATCCATCCATTTATCATCTATCATCCATCCATTTATTATCTGTCATCCATCCATTAATCATTGTCATCCATCCATCCATTTATGATCTATCATCCATCCATTTATCATCTGTCATCCATCCATCCATTTATCATCTGTCATCCATCCATTTATCATCTGTCATCCATCCATTTATCATCTGTCATCCATCCATTTTTCATCTGTCATCCATCCATTTATCATCTATCATCCATCCATTTTTCATCTGTCATCCATCCATCCATCTATCATCCATCCATTTATCATCTGTCATCCATCCATTTATCATCTGTCATCCATCCATCCATTTTTCATCTGTCATCCATCCATCCATTTATCATCTATCATCCATCCATTTATCATCTGTCATCCATCCATCCATTTATGATCTATCATCCATCCATTTATCATCTATCATCCATCCATTTATCATCTGTCATCCATCCATTTATCATCTATCATCCATCCATTTATCATCTGTCATCCATCCATTTATCATCTGTCATCCATCCATTAATCATCTGTCATCCATCCATCCATTTATGATCTACCATCCATCCATTTATCATCTGTCATCCATCCATTCATCATATATCATCCATCCATTCATCATCTATCATCCATCCATTTATTATCTGTCATCCATCCATCCATTTATGATCTATCATCTATCCATTTATCATCTGTCATCCATCCATTCATCCATTTATAATCTGTCATCCATCCATTTATCATCTGTCATCCATCCATCCATTTATGATCTATCATCCATCCATTTATTATCTGTCATCCATCCATTTATCATCTGTCATCCATCCATTCATCCATTCATAATCTGTCATCCATCCATTTATCATCTGTCATCCATCCATTTATGATCTGTCATCCATCCATTAGTCATCTGTCATCCATTCATCCATTTATAATCTGTCATCCATCCATTTATTATCTGTCATCCATCCATCCATTTATGATCTATCATCCATCCATTTATCAGCTGTCATCCATCCATTCATCCATTTATAATCTGTCATCCATCCATTTATCATCTGTCATCCATCCATCCATTTATGATCTATCATCCATCCATTTATGATCTGTCATCCATCCATCCATTTATGATCTATCATCCATCCATTTTTCATCTGTCATCCATCCATTCATCATATATCATCCATCCATTCATCCATTCATCATCTATCATTCATCCATCCATTTATCATCTATCATCTATCCATTTATTATCTGTCATCCATCCATTAATCATCTGTCACCCATCCATTCATCATATATCATCCATCCATTCATCCATTCATCATCTATCATTCATCCATCCATTTATCATCTGTCATCCATCCATTAATCATCTGTCACCCATCCATCCATCCATCCATCATCTATCAGCCATCCATTCATCATCCATTCATCATCTACCATTCATCCATCCATCCATTCATTATCTATCATCCATCCATCAATTCATCATCTATCATCCATCCATTCATCAAGCATTCATCATCCATACATCCATCCATCATCCATGTTGAAACTGTCACCAGGTGTGAAAAAGCATCTTTAAAACGACAACATTTGTCTCATTAAAAGAAAAACTGTAAATTCTGTTTAAGTGATTAAATGGGTCACTCGCTCTCAGACTTGAAAGCCAGGGTGGGTTCCTCTTTATATTTATTACATCAAAATGGGTTTCAAATCAGATAAAAACACTAGAAAAAGCCGAGTAGAAATACCTGAAATGAATCAAAGTGGTTCAAAGTTTTGTATGATGTAGCCTATCGACGTAAGCGGTGGTTCAGTCTCCATTATTTAGAACAGAACAGCGTAACTTTATTTCATAGTAAAGAAACTGATAAATCTTGCTTAGCTGCACATGACCTGCGACCTTTCACCCTCCCCACTAGAACAGGAAGGGGTTCTGATTCTGGGAACGGGCATCGACACGCGAGTTAGGCCAACCGTTACAGACCCTAGTTTGTGTTGTCATGTCCCTGCCCTGGGCCCTCGCCCCAGCTTTTATGAACCTCTGCTCCGGTTGTGTAAGTCTATAGAGTTCTAATTAGCTGCATTCACAAACAGCAGCAGGCTCATCAAAACGCCGAGGCCTGCAGAAAGCCTCAGCAGGGGTGTGTGTGTGTGTGTCGGTATGAGGAGCCACATCGAGGCAGCAGACCTCAGGCCGCTACCAAACTCCACATCACAGAGCCTTTTGCTGCCAAACCGTAGATTTGTCGTCCTCCCTCCGATTTGCATGCGCAGCATGGGAGCAAACAGCCGCTCCGAAACCGCAGAGCACAAACAACAACAAGCAGTAAACAAAGGCGATACCTCGCCGGCTCTCTGTTTCCTAGCCAACTAACAAAATGGCTTCCGAGTGTCGTTCAGAGAGCAGATCACGTGATCAGGAGCACTCGAAACGACCCGATTCTGCTGTGGAGAAATGTTAGACAGGAAGTAAGGTCCTGATCCGACGGCCGGAGGACAAACTAGAGCCTGATCACAAAGAGGAGGTAAAAATCTCTAACGGTGCAACTAGAACAAGGCTGACAACAGTCCGCCGTGCTTTTATCTTCGTCACGGACTCAGCCGGACCAGACAAGAGGCGTGGTTCTGGCAGGGCTAGGGTTTGGAACAGGAACCTGAATGAATAAAACAGGACAAATAAAAGATGATTTTTCTAGAAGAAAAGCATCCTCATGCAGGATTCATGTCACCACCCAGTGATCTTATCACTCGTGTCTTTATTGATGTGTTTTCCTAATCCCTGATTTAATGCCTAACTGGGTGTTTGTCCGGGGGCTGCTGACCACCAGGGCAACAGGAGGAGGACCTCACACACTTCCTGTAGCAGAGTTCATCTGCTCTGAAGCAGCAGGACCATCAGATTCAACGTTGGGACTTGTTACACACGTAAGAAAGTCACTCTGCAAAAGCGAACGAATAAAAACAAGCTGACATGATGTGACTCGATGCAGCCTGTCAGCCATCACGGTGACTCGGATACTAATGAATCAGTCTTTTTAAGGAATGACCATGAAACCAAACAGCTCAGTAATAACTGACGAATTTTCTCCGTTTTGTGCTGACTAAGGCCATAAACCTCTGGCGGCCATCTTGGAGAGGGCTCTGAATGCACCGTAAGGAGCAAAAGTATTTGAACACCCTGTGATTTTGCGAGTTCTCTCACTGAGAAACGTGGAGGAGTCTGATATCCACATCGCAGGTGCATTCCCTCCGTGAGAAACAGCATTTTAAAAAATCACTGACTGACTTGGGTGGACAGGTGCTGCTAATTTAGACTTACACGTGGACTAGAGGTGGACGTTTTAAAGGCAGAGTAGCAGGTCTGAGCCACAACTCAAGCTGTTCAAATCCTCACGTGCAGCAGTGTAATACTACCATGCAATGTGATTTTTAAATGCTGTCTCTCACAGAGGGAATGCACCACAGTCTGGATTTCTAAGTGGGAAAACTTGCAAAATCTCAGGGTGTTCAAATACTTCTGCTCCTCACCTTCTAACAAAGACTTCCTGGTAAAAACGCCACAAATTTACTTAAAACTAAATGTTGTTAAATGACGTTTGTTACTGTTGATTAGCCACAGCGGCCATCATAAGTTAACCAGTAAAACACCAGTCAGCCAGTGGTTCTGGAGATGTCGCACTAGACAACCTGAGAATCTAAACCAACACCCCGTGATTCTGGGTCAGACCAGTCACCTCATTCAGTTTTACCTAAAGCACAACAATAAGTTAGTCCCAGCAACCATTAAAGTCCCGTTAGCATGGGTAGCGTTAGCGCTGGCGCACTACCACCTTCACCTTTTACCACCTCTACGAAGCTGAAGCCTTTATGATCCAACAGACAGAAGAAAACGCGACTGGTGAAAGAGCCGTGTTGTTTGTGCGTGTATGTTGTTGTTGTTGTTTTTTACTTGTCCTTGGCAATTCAATTTCCCCCTTGGGGATTAATAAAGACAACCTTGAACCTTGAACCTAGACAAGAGGAGACGTTCCGGACTCCTACATCCTTTCACTGTCTCAAATTCAAGCACTTTCAAGATTTTCCAGCGTTGTATCCTGGTGACACTTTGCACAAGTAAACCAAACACGCACGCTCCGTATTACCACACTTTCTCCTGAAATCAGGCCCGATCGCTCAACGACCCACTTCAGTTAGAAATTCAAGCACTTTTAAAAACACTGAAAAAGCAAAACACACGAAAAATAAAGAATTTTCAAGGATTTCAAGAACCTGTAGGAAGGCTGGAGCTTAAGGAAACAACCGACATGTTTAAGGACGACGTTCGGCCAGTTTCAACCCAAACAACGTGTGTGATCACCACAGTCATCACACTCACACACACACACACAAAGACAGGCAGGAAAGAATACAAACAGCGTATCAGGAATACGGGAAGTCTCCATCAGCAATGGCCCTCAGCAGCAGAAAAACAAACCTGAATCTCAAAAAGACCAAAAACATCGACATTTTCCCCTGTTTGCACCACTGAGTCCAGCTAAAGATCCATTTATGAAAAAGATTAAACTTTAAGAATAAACGTCTGACAGTCAAGCAGCAAACGAAGCAGCAGAGAGCAGGTGTAAGGGGAGGGGGGGACGTACTTGAGCCGGAGAAATGTCCGCTCCCCAGGGAGGTCGGTCCGTTCTTTCCACTGCTAACAGGAGGGGAAAACATCTACAAGACAAACAGAGCACACATTACCTCTGAGAGCTCTGACGCTGGAGACAGAAAAGTTACACAAACATCACGGAGCTTCATGAGCAGCTTCACTCCAGAACCACCAGCCGGCCCCCATCTGAGCTTCTGATTGGCTCAGACGGGACGGTTTCTATCCAGGGTAAATGTTGGGAGTGACCAGGACTCAGTACCAGGTTGGGTTTTATAATCTCTCAGTTCTGTTTTGAAACTTCTGCTTTTGGTTTTCTTTACTTTATAAACAAACTGTTGTCATTTTAAACTAACAAAAACCTAAACAGTTCCTAAAGATGCATAAATGATGAGTCATGTCTGAGTCCAAGTCCTACTTCTGTGTATGAACCCCCCCAAACCCTAACCCAACATCAGAGAGTTCATTCCTAAATCTGGATATGAAAGTCCCAAGTCAGGTCTCAGGTCCCAGACACGGAGCAGATCAAGTTCATTCTCAAATAAGGACCTAAAGCTCAATCCAGAGTTAAGTCCTGCTTCTGTGTGTGACCAATCCCAACATCTCTACTGACTGTTCCAGGGTTAGGTCTTAGAAGAAGAAGAAGAAGAAGAAGAAGAAGATATCATTTCTATAGCGCCTCTCAAGATAAAAATCACGAGGTACTTCACAAAAACAAAAAAAAAATGTAAATATATAAAAAAGCATTTAGAAAATATTTAAAAATATATTTAAAATGAGCAAAAATAGGCAACTGGGATTTAAAAGAAATGGTAAATGGTAAATGGACTGTATTTGATATAGCGCCTTCTAGGGCCCTGGAACCCCCCAAGGTGCTTTACAACACAATCAGTCATTCACCCATTCACACACACATTCACACACTGGTGGGGATGAGCTACGATGTAGCCACAGCTGCCCTGGGGCGCATTGACAGAGGCGAGGCTGCCGAGCACTGGCGCCACCGGTCCCTCCGACCACCACCAGCAGGCAACGTGGGTTAAGTGTCTTGCCCAAGGGCACAACGGCAGCGACAGACTGAGCGGGGCTCAAACCTGCAACCTTCCGATTACGGGGCGAGCACTTAACTCCTGTGCCACCGTCGCCCCATCGGTGTTAGAAAGAGAGAGAGTGAACAGGAAAGAGGGAAATCAGTGGATCCTGAGGAAGGTAGAATAGGTGGGGAGAGCAGAATAAAGAGAGAGAGGTGAAGGTCATACAAAAGCCAGCTTGAACAAGTGAGTCTTCAGCTGCTTTTTAAAGGAGACCACTGAGTCCACTGATCTCTGGCTCAGGGGGAGAGAGGTCCAGAGTCTGGGGGCCACAGCAGCAAATGATCTGTCACCTTTGACCTTTAGCCTGGTGCTGCACAGCTCCCACCATCCAGGTTTTGATAGAGTCTAAGCAGGTGTGTAACAGCTGCAGCTTAGACATCTCATGGGGCTTAAAGGAGACGTACAGTTGGATGTCATCTGCATAAAGATGGTAGGAGACTCCTTTGAAGGAGCTCAGGATGTGCTGAAGAGGAAGAAGATAGAGGAGGAAGAGCAGAGGCCCCAGCACAGAACCTTGTGGGACACCATGGGTAAGAGAAGTGGTGGAGGACCTAAACTTGGAGATGGCCACAGTAAAGGAGCGCTCAGAAAGATAAGAGGAAAACCACTCCAGAGCAGATCCTGATAGGCCTACCCAGTCTCTCAGCCTCTCCAGTAGCAGATGATGGTCAACAGTGTCAAAGGCTGCAGTCAGGTCCAACAGGACCAGAACAGAACAGTCTTAAACCAAGACCAGAAACTCCCAAGTCAGCATCCAGGTCTGGTCCCAAACTCGTGACTACAAAAGCGAGACCAAGTGAAGAAAAATAGGACTTCGACCAGAACATCAGGTTGGGTCAATCTGGGTTCAGGTCCTGCACATAACTGCTAACATCACACATAACTGGTCCTGACATCAAAAAGGACTAGATCAGAGTCAAGTCTTAAAACGAGTCAGAGAAAGTTCAACCAGTCAAAGTGAGTCTCAAATCAAAACTACAACTTATGTTCAGGCCCAAGATCTGGATCTATATGTGACCTGTCCCAACATCACAACTGCTGGCTCCAAGTTCAGGTCTTAAGTCAAGACCAGGATCATCTAGTCAGCTCCCAGGTCTAACCCGGGAAATGTAAAGCTGTGAAGTTCCTAAACCACCAGTAAACCTCATTGTTTCAAAATGTCATGTCACATATGAAAACCAGTTAGTAGGTTAAGAACCCAGGTTAGGGTCAATCCCAACATCAGAAGTTCATGACCTCTGACTCTGGTCCCACGTCTAGTCCAACAATCGTCACGAGTATATAAAAACCATAAAGCTTCACCTGAGAAACAGTTAGTAACCTCAGGACCCAGTTTGGACCGATTCCAACATCAAAACAAAGGAATCCTGATCCAAATCCTAAAACAAGACCAGAATCTCCCAAGTCAGGTTCCAGGTTTCATCCAAAAACCAGGCTTATAAAACGAGGGATTCATGATGCAACTAGGAGGAGGTTCCCCAAATCTAAAGTAGAAGTCAGGTCCAGGACGAAGACCTGCACAAAGCCAGTCCAAACATCAAATTAACAGTCCAAGATCCAAACCCTAAGAGTCTTGTGCCAAGTCTAGTCCAACAAGTCTAAAGGTCCAAAGACGGGCATCAACTAAATCTCAGTCAAACACCAACTTCAGGATCAGGACTAACAAGGAAATTCAGGATCCAAGTCCGAGGAACCAGGTCCAACGCACATTCACTCAGTCAGGTCCCTAGTCTAGTTTAGTGGGTCCAAGGTATGTCACAGGTCAAGAACAAGGGCCCAAATCAGGATGGAGATCCTGGATTAAGTCCGGACTCTGAACAAAATCAGGTCCAACATCCAGGGCCAAATCCAAAGTCAAGACTAAAGGCCTTTCAGTCTAGTCCCAAGTCTGAGGTAGGCCACTGATAAAATCCCAGAGGTCAACTAGTCCTAAACGAAGTTTAAGGAATTCCAGGTCCCAGATCCTGAATCTGAGTAACAGTCAGTGAAAAAGCTGAAACAAATCCTAAATTCAAGACCAGACCTCAGAGTTAGGGCTCAAGTCCAGTCTAACTCGTCCAAAGTCACAATCACCGAGTCCAAGGTTGGCCACAGGTACATTATAGTCAAAAACCAAGTACCAAATCAGGACAGGTTAAGTCCATAACCAAGTCCTTTAGCCTCAAGTCCAGAGTCAAAGGAAGTTCAAATATAGACCCAGTCTAAATGATTGGTCAAGTCCCAGTCCAGATTGGTTCCTGCCTCTCCAGGTCTAAAGCTCTGAACCGCTTTCAAGTTTCATGTGTGACTAGATAAGGACTTGAGTCCTGGTCAACTCAGGGAAAAACAGGCGAGTTTGTTTCTCCCAAGAAAAAAAAAACCTGAAATGTAAAAAAACCCTAAAAAGATTATTTTCAGTTTTTTTGGGATTTATGTTGGAGTGAAACGATTCATGTCTCCATTTCAAACACAGGAGAAAATGATGACAGCTAGCTACCATCTGCTCTAACGCTTACAGCTAAGTGAGAGAGAGGCGGAACGGGTCGGACTAGACCCGTCTGACCCGGCGGATAACCCCTCCGGATCAGCGTCAGGCCTCCGAGTGGCTGATCATCACATCAAACTCGGCAACCGGAATTTAAAAGCAAAGCAGCTCCAACCCAGTCGGGCCTAAGTGTGTGTGTGTGTGTGTGTGTGTGTGTGTGTGTGTGTGTGTGTGTGTGTGTGTGTGTGTGTGAAACGGCAAGGATACGGGATGAAACGGGCCGATGGAACCGTAGTCTAACCGCTCCGAGCCGCTAGTGTCGACATAAAGACGGTTAATCGCATAAATTAGAGCTCAGCCTGCGTTTCAGCTGCCGCCGCCTCCTTTGTTCTAGCGTTTAGGAAATCTCAGCTCTGCTCACTCAGGTTCACTTATTTAGGTACAGTTAACGGAACATTTACGGGTGTCATCTGTGTGTGCACACACACTTATTTAATCAAGCAAATCATCCCATCATTTTTAACTTTAACCTGTGATGGTTTGATTTGACGTTATTGAACCCGAGCAGCAGAATCCTCCTCCAGCTGAAGGCTCTTCACCCTTTTCTGACTCGTCCTGTAATTATAATCCTGATGCTTCTTGTTGTTTTGGGTCATTTTCTTTGTGACATTCCTGCAGATTGTGTTGGTGCAGGCCTCAGCTGATCATTAACATTCCTCAGGAGAGATTTTGAATGGCTTCCTCTGCAAATCCTGCATTTAACTGCTGATAAAAATACAAATTTAATACAACTATTTCTCATTAATTGTTAGAATTATTATTTAATTTGCATAAACATTTTCATCAGCCCAGATTAATAACTAAAACCATTTCACTGATTACGGTTTTTGCTCTGCTTTCTCACAGTAAAAAAATATTTACTTGTTTATTTACTTAATTGTATTTTAGGGTTTTATTTGCCTCCTCCCCTAAAAGTTGCTACCGGAGGGTGGGCGTGGATGGAAGGGGGTGCTCAGAGGAAAACATGGACTCGGATTTCCTGTTCGTCAGTTTCAACACAAAAATTCAGCCAAATAAAAAAAAAAGCACCGCGGAGAAACGGAGCGTCGCAGGTTTCAAGTCCCGCTGCAGGAGCTTCTAACGCGGACTCAACGCTGACCCCGTCCGCCCGGTTCCGCCGCCTGTCTGCAGGCAACACCGGTCAACGTCGAGCCTGTCTCTACGCTTCTGTCCAACCCGGTGCAGAGCGCACGGAGCAGCCCAGAAACTCCAGAGTAACCCAAACATAAACAAATAAACAAATGAAGCTACACATGAAGGAGAAAAGGACTGAAAATGAGATATACTACCATGGATGTTGGGAACATTTTCAAATCGCTGTTTGGCATCTACAAGACAACAAAATTACTAATGCAGCATCACAATTATCTGCGCACGCACGCACACACACGCGCGCACACACACACACACGCGCACACAGAGGCAGAAATTAAACAACATAAAACAACATTTGCACAGTTTTCAGCAAGTTACAATAAAATAAAAACAAGTTAATATTTGAACAGAAAACTTTAGAGGATCCAAAGTGGCCGCTGGGACTCGGTTCGGCTCGGTTCCGAGAGCATCTGAAGCAGAAGCTGGTTTCTTACCGCGCTGAAATCCAGCAGGTCGCTCAGCTCCTTGTCTGTTCCCAAAGCTGCCATCCGTTGTTGATGATGCATTTTAGCAAAATCACACGGACCTACAAACATGGACACACACGCTGAGACACGGAGACGGATGGAGGAGAGGACGAGAAACTGATGAATGGATGGATGGAGAGACGGAGGGAGGAAGAGGAGTAGAGAGCTGGAGGGTTCTGTGCGCTCCGCTCCCAGGTTGCCTTTTCCTCCAACAGCCGAATAAATCCAGGAAAACCAGCAGGAAAGCCGCCACCAGCTCTAGTTTTCTCTCATCCTCGGAGCTGGAGCTCAGTCCGGGTTCCTGGTTCGGCAGCAGGAAATCAAAAAGCTGACAGGAAATAAAAAGAAAGAAGGGAGGGGGCGACACGATAGGAGTGTTTTCTGCAGCTTTTCCGGCTGAAACGCGCTCCGACTCGCGGAGATTTCACCTCCCAAATGTCCCGAGAGTCTGGAGCGGGCTGCGCGCTGCTCCACGGCCGGCTCAGAGTGCGCTGCGCTCGCCTGCGGCTGCTGAAGGTCCCCGGGCGCGCAGGACGGAGCCCACGTGCGTCTGGCACAGCCGCGGAGGGGAGAGAGAAATGGGTCGGTGCGGCCACCTAGCTCTCAGTCCCGCTCCCGCTGCACCGACTGGCGCTGAGGCTGCACGAGGAAGCGCAAAGTCTGCGGCAAAAGCAGAAAGAAACCAGAAAGAAAAATAGATTTGTTGCTTTGATTGATTGATTGAATGATTGATTGACTGGCTGGCTGTGTGGCGCCGTGATTGGCTGCTCCGGTTCAGCTGCAATTAGGGAACAGTCAGGTGGATTCTTCTAGTCATTCATGACTTTATCAGCTCATAATTCAAGCTTCGGTTTTAGTTATTTGGGTTAACAGCTGATGATGTTTCTACTCAGCTGTTTACGGAGGAAACGCCTGAAACCAGCGCGGAGTTTGACCCACATCCCCCTAGGGGTCACCTCTTGAACTACACCCTCTCCGGGACCCTCTGCTGTGGAAACACTTTGTAAAGCTTCTGTAGCCTGCAGGTAGAAATTAGTGGCCTATTTCTGCAAATTACAGCCTGCTTGTGCGGATGTCTCTCTCAAAAAGCCGTAAACAGTCTCACACAGGTGCAGGAGCATCATAAAGGCGTTTGTTGCTCCTCGTTTTCAGCCACGTCCTGCAGCTCGACCCACAGAACGTCAGCATCAATCCACAGATTCTCACCGGTCTGAGCCTTATTTGGTGTCTCTACACCCGTCTAAAATAAAACAAGCTGTTGATGAACTCACTCTCCAGATGTTTTTGGAGGAAAAGCAACAAATCAGACCTGACACCTGTTTTTTTTTCTCCAATCATTTAGGTTACATCTATTCTGTTTTAATGAAAAATAAAGGCATTTAAATATGGTTTAATTCAGAGGAAACATAAAAGTTTGATCACATTTGGAAGTTGGATCATCTCTAAATTTAAAGTTTACCACAGATCAGGATTGCTGTGGTTTAAATCAGAAAACATTTAAAAACACGTCTTCAGGGTAAAAATCCAGCTTGCTGCATTCAGCATCGTCTGATTTCTCCTCTCAGACTTTATCTTTCTGGATCAGAACCCCTGAAACAATCAGAGAACAGGTTATAATCTTAAACTGTTTTCCATGTTAATATTCAAATTATTATTATTTAAAAATAATCTGAAAAACTTGATTTTCTAATTGTTGTTCTAACTAAAGTAGGTAAACAGGAAGGAGCTGCTCTGGTTTTGTTTACTGAATCTGTTCGGATCTGAAACAGGAATAAATCTGATGTTTGTTTCTGCTCAGGAAGGTTTATCTGATTTTTATTAGTTGGTGAAATTTTAACCCAGCTTTAATCTGTGCTGAAGACACAAAAGAAGCCTTTATAAATTAGGACCATATCTCTCAGGACTGCTCGTGGCCCGGTGACCACGCCTTGGACACCTCTGATTAGGTATGGGTACCGAATTCGGTACTTTTTAAGGCTCCGATCAAATTCCAAAGTACCGACTGAGTACCAGTTCACGTCATATGAAGCGGTGGCTTGTTTTGGTACCGTGCCTCGCACCGGCCTAAGAGCGTAATGTCGTCAGTCACTGTGGGCGAGCTGTAAACAAAGCAGCATGGCGGAGAGGAAGTTTGGGTCCACTTCACTAAATGGGATGGGTAAGTGGGTGATGATGAAACCAGCAACAACAATCTAAGTGAGGCATCATCATCTTAATCTGCTCCGGTAGGTAAATAAAATCTTTAAGATAATGTTAGCTTGAATGTTAGCTTCCATTCAGCTAACGGTGCGTTTGCTTTCTCCTCAGAACGTAGAAAGGGAACACACTCTAAAGTTTGGCCTCACTTCACTAAATGCGATGGGCTGTTGGGTGATGATGAAACCAGCCATAACCATCTGAGTGTGAGGCATCTTGATCTGCTCCAGCAGCAAAATAAACTGTTCAAGATTTTGTTAGCTTGATAGTTTAGCTTATGTTTACACAGCTAACGGTGCGTTCGGTTTCTCCTCAGAAATTCCAATAAAAAATCAACAGTTCGAAAAAGAACAACAAAAGGAATGAAGATACACAGTAAATTTAGTTCACAGCAGAAATGTTTGCTTCAGTGTAATTAGCAGTTTCTAAAACTACAAGGACCCACCAGCACAGTTTATAAAACTACAAGGACCCACCAGCACAGTTTATAAAACTACAAGGACCCACCAGCACAGTTTATAAAACTACAAGGACCCACCATCACAGTTTCTAAAACTACAAGGACCCACCATCACAGTTTCTAAAACTACAAGGACCCACCATCACAGTTTCTAAAACTACAAGGACCCACCAGCACAGTTTATAAAATTACAAGGACCCACCATCACAGTTTCTAAAACTACAAGGACCCACCAGCACAGCTTATAAAACTACAAGGACCCACCAGCACAGTTTATAAAACTACAAGGACCCACCAGCACAGTTTATAAAACTACAAGGACCCACCAGCCTAGTTTATAATACTACAAGGACCCACCATCACAGTTTATAAAACTACAAGGACCCACCAGCACAGTTTATAAAACTACAAGGACCCACCATCACAGTTTATAAAACTACAAGGACCCACCAGCCTAGTTTCTAAAACTACAAGGACCCACCATCACAGTTTATAAAACTACAAGGACCCACCAGCACAGTTTATAAAACTACAAGGACCCACCTGCCTAGTTTCTAAAACTACAAGGACCCACCATCACAGTTTATAAAACTACAAGGACCCACCAGCACAGTTTATAAAACTACAAGGACACACCAGCACAGTTTCTAAAACTACAAGGACCCACCAGCCTAGTTTCTAAAACTACAAGGACCCACCATCACAGTTTATAAAACTACAAAGACCCACCAGCACAGTTTCTAAAACTACAAGGACCCACCATCACAGTTTCTAAAACTACAAGGACCCACCATCACAGTTTATGAAACTACAAGGACCCACCAGCACAGTTTCTAAAACTAAAAGGACCCACCAGCACAGTTTATAAAACTACAAGGACCCACCATCACAGTTTCTAAAACTACAAGGACCCACCATCACAGTTTCTAAAACTACAAGGACCCACCATCACAGTTTCTAAAACTACAAGGACCCACCAGCACAGTTTATAAAACTACAAGGACCCACCAGCACAGTTTATAAAACTACAAGGACCCACCATCACAGTTTATAAAACTACAAGGACCCACCAGCCTAGTTTCTAAAACTACAAGGACCCACCATCACAGTTTATAAAACTACAAGGACCCACCAGCACAGTTTATAAAACTACAAGGACCCACCTGCCTAGTTTCTAAAACTACAAGGACCCACCATCACAGTTTATAAAACTACAAGGACCCACCAGCACAGTTTATAAAACTACAAGGACACACCAGCACAGTTTCTAAAACTACAAGGACCCACCAGCCTAGTTTCTAAAACTACAAGGACCCACCATCACAGTTTATAAAACTACAAAGACCCACCAGCACAGTTTCTAAAACTACAAGGACCCACCATCACAGTTTCTAAAACTACAAGGACCCACCATCACAGTTTATGAAACTACAAGGACCCACCAGCACAGTTTCTAAAACTAAAAGGACCCACCAGCACAGTTTATAAAACTACAAGGACCCACCATCACAGTTTCTAAAACTACAAGGACCCACCATCACAGTTTCTAAAACTACAAGGACCCACCATCACAGTTTCTAAAACTACAAGGACCCACCAGCACAGTTTATAAAACTACAAGGACCCACCAGCACAGTTTATAAAACTACAAGGACCCACCATCACAGTTTATAAAACTACAAGGACCCACCATCACAGTTTATAAAACTACAAGGACCCACCATCACAGTTTATAAAACTACAAGGACCCACCATCACAGTTTCTAAAACTACAAGGACCCACCATCACAGTTTCTAAAACTACAAGGACCCACCAGCACAGTTTCTAAAACTACAAGGACCCACCATCACAGTTTATAAAACTACAATGACCCACCATCACAGTTTATAAAACGACAAGGACCCACCATCACAGTTTATAAAACTACAAGGACCCACCATCACAGTTTCTAAAACTACAAGGACCCACCATCACAGTTTCTAAAACTACAAGGACCCACCAGCACAGTTTCTAAAACTACAAGGACCCACCATCACAGTTTATAAAACTACAATGACCCACCATCACAGTTTATAAAACGACAAGGACCCACCATCACAGTTTATAAAACTACAAGGTCCGTGAGAAACTGTTTATCCAACAGCGTGGCTCGTTTCACTTCTTAGTTTGGTTCAGTATTAATTGGCTCACGTTAGCGTTAGCTCAATATTAGCGCTAGCTACAGCAGGCTTGTTTACCACAGGGCAGGGCGGAGGAGCAGGAAACTGCTCAGTGTTACTTTTACTAACCAGGAATTTCTTCAAGAAGCATTTCTGTTCTATAAGGCAGAACCGGGTCAGGATGTATAATTTTAAAATTTACACGAAAATAAAATAAAACAGTTGCTTCAGTTTGTTGTTCATTCTACTTTGTTCTTTTATTCTTTCATGGAGCTGAAATAAGAATTTCATCTATGAAATTATCTTTTTATTCTAACAGTTTTTGTGTTTATAAAACCTTCAGACTCTGGGTCCAACACACCATTCTGCTCCCGATGATCAGAACCCGGAGCGGAGAGTCCCGATGGTATCAGCGTGAGAACGAAGACAGAGATCACAACAGAACCAGGTTTAGTCTAAACTCCAACCTTGAAATGGATCAGGAACATTCAAACAAGGTCTGACATTAAACACGGGCCCATCTGGGTCAGAACCAGTAAAATAATGGAACCTTGACAGATTAAAGGAACCAGCGGGGGTGGGGTGTGCTCTCCCTCTCAGATGGTCCACCAGAACAGGATCTGAACTTCTGACATAGAAAATGATCAAAGTCCTGAAAATAAACTAAAAACGATTCTATTCATCAACCAGAACCTCCTGACCCTGTCCAGAACATCTGGCCCAGTACAGGACCTCTGACTCAGTCCTGGACACCTGACCTAGACCAAAGCCTCCTTACCCATTCCACGACTTCCTGATCTTTCTCTTTACCGACCCAGACCTTCTGAAGGACC